GACGGAAACGGGAAAATCGCATAGCGCGAAGATAGGATTGTTATAGTGATGGAGCGTTTAGGAACATCTTTAGTGACGCGTACGGAATTCGAATCCTTTCATCTTCACAGAAACTGGATACCTGACAGCTCTGCTTTCACCCAGTTTATTATAGCATACATGTATTGCAATCGGTCATTCCTGACTTATACTCCAATCAGTACGATTCATCTGAATATCATCATTTGCAGGGCGACAAACTGATTGTACACATATTAATTCTTTAATTCGTTCTTTTCGAGTTTATTGAAAGTCAAATCCAACGTTATTTGCTTCTGAACGTTCACCAAAATAGTGCACTTATGTTAGTGCTGGGGGAGGGGGGTTGGCCGAGCATTTATTTTTCTGAGGTACGCTGCCTTTTAATACCATCCTGTGTTGTTGTGCGCTGTTATTTCTGGCTAGTTTTCGACTAAATAAACATAGTTTGTTTAGCATTGAATAACCTTCATGCCGAACGTTCTGAGTTTTTGGGAGAACTGCAGAAGTTTTCGTGTATTTCCAATATACCAAAAAATAAACCGACGGTGACACCAGTGCCCATACAGAAAACGTTCAAATAGCAAAAGTGAGTTCCCTAGAAGGGAAGTAAGAGCAAGTTGAAGTTGATGCGGAAAAGTAGGAGAAAATCAGGGGCTGTCAAGCAGGCGGAACAGCGCGGAAGAAACATGACACTCACCTCGTTTCTCCAGCCGTCCAACGCTTTGAAAGTCTTGGTAGATCGTAGATCAAGCATCACATCCCCGACCGCTGAACTACGCGCGTCAAAAGTGTTGAGGGCTGGATGCAAAGTGATGCATCGTTCACCAGTTTCCGGCTGAACGGTCCACACAAACACACTTGGAAAAGTTAAAAGTGATGGAATCACATCGGGTCGAATGAGGCCAACAAAGTAGCCATCGACTAGGAATTTACAACAAGAGCACCGAGATGAACCTGTTTCGATGAAGAGATGTGAAAAAAAATTTAGGACGGATCAAAAGAAGCATCTGAGAAGTACTACTTTCTAGTTATTGGTCACTAGAGATGGGAAACAATCAGCTTAGGTCCGCATTCAATGAGATGTTGAAAACTGTGAAGAAAATGATTCTTCAGTATTCGAAGCAGCCGCACGGTAATGGAAGGTGTATTCTGTTTACCTTCGTGTGACAAGTGTTAAGCATAGTTTTTGTAAGTAAACACAAGCTAACCTACTTCAGTGTTAGATGATCTTGAAGTTTTGGGAGTCAGTCTACTGTATCGCGAAAGCCTCCAGTTGATACGATCGCATAGTAACTATTAGTACTTGCAATGTTTATCCTTCGCAACTAATCGCGGTGCAAAACAAATAACTTCCCAGACGAACCGTTCTTCACAAAAATTCTGACTGGGTGGAACAGACACAGAACGCTCAATTAAGATTCGCTTCAGTACATTTAGTGACAATGAATTACACGAATAAATTTGTGTCGAAATAGGTAGAGATTGTGAACTAGGGTTTCCGTCAGTTTATCGGCTAGTCCGAACTGAGCAACACTAAAGCAACAATTGACAGAAGTCAAAAAAGACCGAAAGCAAGGAACACATGTGATGATAGTGATGCACATATTGCGCCGGTTTGCCTCACTCAACCTCAGACTCCTTTTTTACACACCTTTTGTGTGATGAACATACGATGGAGTGAGCTCCATTGTCAGGAGGACCTGCTACTCAATCGTGGAAACCCGTACTCCAGGCCACACAACTTGTGGCGGCGACAAACATACAGCCCTAGTAGGTTAGATGCGACATTGAGTCGGGTGACAGGGAAGCTGCCTAGCCCCAACGTTGGGTGATGATGGTCAAACCGCGAACTCTAGGACCCAGAGTACCGCGGACAGCCACTTAGACCACTTGACCACCATCAACCATTACCACTAGCCTCAATGAAAATGCACGTACGACCCGGCTTTGCTACTACCCTTTGAAGTATCTATGCAAACATAATGATCAAGTAGGAAATCAAAACGGTCAGATGTTTAATCTTGATTTCAAACAGTGAACAGCGTGGGCAGATTGCAGCCATGAACACTTGATGTTATAGTTGAAACTTTTGGTCACTGGCTTATTGTTGTTGTTGTTGTCGATAGCAGATTTGCATGGACTGTAGTCCAGGAAAGAGAGAGAGAGAATTTAATCAAAAGCTGGTAGATGATTTCTGTGTCCGCATGAACAATTGTTACCTCGTAGCAGTTATATCGTTATGGGAGATCGCGAACAAACAAGAACCCATCAGTTCAACGATAGGTTGTAAGCAGTAAAATAAGAACTATACATGGATGATCGAAAAAGCTTCAGACGAGGATGGATGAAGAATAGAAAAGTGAGCAGTGGAGGGAAGCTTTCCTCGTGGAAAAATACAAGTAAACGTACGTTAGGTACGAGTGAGTGGCATGGAAGGGTGATGTGAGCAAAACATGGAACAGTATGGGAGCAATTGTCAGAGAACTCAAACGAAGAAAATTGAGATACAAGGTGGTGAAGACTCGCTTTAAATCACAACGCCTAACACAAGCGTAAAATTCGTGGATCGTAATAAAAGCCCTAAAAGATTGAACCGTAATTTGATTAGAGGTGGAACCAGAACGAAGGTTCCAACAGAAACAGAGACAGACAATAACTGAAAAGAGAAGCCAGTATAGTAACATTGCACAATTTATGTGGTGGACGAGTTCTCCGTATCTCAACTGGAGCCTAATGCAGATAAATATCACGAATATACAGGGATGGGAAGTGAATTATAAAAATAAACACAAAAGCGAATGGGGAAATGGTAACTAACGCAAAGAAAAGGTGATGAACAAGTCCTTTTGTCGACACAGAACGAGTGCCCACCGATCGATTGCAATTGACTCAGTTATTTTGAGAATTTTGGTATTATCGCTGGTATAAAACATACGAAACGATAATAATGATGATACTAAGCGAAAAATTAAGAATGAACAAGAAAACCGATGACGGTGTTTACAAGGAACGAAGAGGACGGTGTGAGAAATAAAATAAATGGCTTTTTTATTACCTTTTGTTTGTGGTCAACTTTCAGGAAGGGGGCCACGGAATACAAAGGCTGCCTGGGTAAATTGGTAAATGGAGAAGATGGGCAGTGATGGTGGAATTTGAACTCAGGACATCCGGGGCACTATTTTGATGACCTTATTTGCCTGACCACCACCACCCAAGAAGTGAGCGAATGAAAAGTAGTTTATCCTATGGGTCTGTATATTTTCATTTATCAGACGCAGTGCGGCAGCAGCAGAAAGCTTCAAGCCCATAAACACAGAGACCCAAAGTTCAATCAAGCTCGAACGATGACCCGAAGAAAGCACAATAGCAAATTTCTAAACTCAGAACAAATTTGCAATTAAGATCCATTCTGAGTTTTGTGGCGTTTAGGCTCATCGAGAATATTTCTATCGATTACTAGAAGGAAACAAGGACAGAGTGTTTCCATTTAGGCGACTATATTTGTTTTGTCAATTGTGAACATTTATGAAACACTTGGTGATGAGCATCAAAATTTTAGATGAGCCCCGTTAAAAATGATATTGCTGTACGTCCATCCAACGAAGGAGTAGAAAGAAGAAGACACCTAAACGATTATGGAGGCGTACAGTTTGAAAAGAATAGAAGGTGCATCACTTCGTGGTGTTTATAAACGCTAGCTCACTGTACTTTTTCATGTTAAAGCGGGCAGATTACTTACTGCGAGTTGATTGGCTGATTGGTTTGTCCGGTGACTCCTTTTTGTTTATTGGTTGGTTCGTTTTTGTGGACCCACCGCAAACCGGTCTCCATTGACCCATAAGATTTAAGGGGTGCAAACAGTCAATCAAAACCGTCAGACAGCACTTGATAAGCTCGGTCAAATTGAGAAGTGACGCTTCCCCGAATATGCACTGATGATGTCTAACCTGACTGCGAAACATGCGAACAGTACTCCCAGCTAGAACACATATGTCCGTACGAAACAGATAGTTATCTGAGTATCAAACCTGGTCTGTTTCCGTTAGGTCACGTCCCCGCGTTAGACAAATTCAACACCGCCATGGTATTCACATTTCGGATCAAAGACTCCATTTGGGGTTCCCAAAAAACACCTTCATTTGTGGTGTGAAGTATGCTGCGCCCTACAGTCCCAGGCAATCATCGATAAAACCTTCGTTACAATCATCTGCCTGTTTCTTCCTTACCTCTCAAAATACCCGAGATGTCTGTTTGTGCTCTCAAGAGTATATCATTCAGGATTCGACTAGTTAGGCAAGGAAATTCTAAAAAAATCATTGAACTAATCAAAGCAAGGGCGCCTCTTCATTCAGCTGATTGCAGTTTTCGAACACCGATCATACTGAACCGCCCGAATGAGGAGGCAACCAGATGGACGAGTAATTGTGCATCTACCAGTTTTCTGCGTAGATCTGGGCTACTCAATTGGTGTACCTTTATTCTGATGGTGCTGTTAACTTATTTGATGTAGTTCTCTCTCATTTGTCGACCAAGCGAACACCCGACAAATAGCAATCAAAACTATCGCACGGTAGCGTAAAGTTGCGCATTACCGTGCAATCACGACGAGACTGCACCTTGACGTGGTGTGATAGCTTGTGCACCTATGTGACCAAACGAGCTACACAGGATGGCCTTTGTCAAGCCAGGAGATCTTATCAAGCCTGGAGGGTCAATGGGTAGAGGTCAGACGAAGTTCGGTCTCCCGGTCCTCCAGGTTGGGGGTTCGACTGGAATTTGCGTTTCAGTCGGTAAAAAACGGTGGAGGAGTAATCGATCCAAGTAAATAGGCCTCCACTTCGCTTCACCCGCTGCCTTGTGGTTAGGTTCTTGTCAGAACTAAAGGCTTTGGTTGAGAACCCTAATCGTTCTCCTGCTTAGTGGCTGANCTGAACACCCTAGCAGTACCCGTCCATCAAACCCCAATGCATATGCATTGCGAGTTCGGCAGCGATCATTGAAGTTCGCTTCTCTGTATTTCGCTGTACGATGATGATGATGATATTCGTAGACTGGTTGCGGCAGGATTTTAATCAAATAACTTGGGAAAAGTCAAGCCATTATCCCCTGGTTTTCAAAGCGATGTTTGATGAATTTTCCACTCCACTACTAAAGTGATCTTATTTTTGCTTGGAGCCATCGCATTTGAGTTCTCTTTTATACGGGTTTAACGACTACCCTACACACTTATTTACGTACCTCTCGCTGTGTGCAAGATCATATTTCCCTCCCACATCAGACGATACTTCCCTTTCACTAACCTCTCACTACACGTTCAGATTACCCCCACGTCCGAATACTGAAGTCAAGTGTGGAGTGAAGCACTATCCACTTTACTGTCTGTTCCTCATTGGATTTAAAGTAACACNCCATCCTTAACATGAAACCTGCAGTCCTCAGCTCAATACCAAACAGTCGGTTGTTTATCTTAATCCTACCGGTACTATTTCGTTTTTGTTCAAACGAACGTGGCTCTTTCATCCCTTTCCTACTTGCTCTTTATCGTGGATCCGAAAGGTATACAAGCAGCTTGTTAATCATGTTAAGTGACTATCCTCAAGTGTCGCATTTCAAACATTCAACCATCTTTTCCCTTTAGAACAGCTCAACTGGGTAGCACTTTTAACAAACACACACACACACCCTTTCTGCAACTTTTCTCCAACTTTTAACATCCTTACCCGTGAAAGCAGAATCAACGGGCTAGCTTCATCTTTAACATTCCCTTAATCGTCTCATGTACAGCATACCCTTGAATTATGGGGCTTACCTCACGTTGTATTCATTTTCCGGTGATAAAAAGCGGACGATTTATCACGCATCGTGAGCGCTTATTTTAGCGATCAGCAAGATCGCGGTAAGCTAGACTTAAAATCACTCAATAAATAATTCAGCGTATAAGATAGCGCATAAAAAAATTAAAAACTACTGACTGGTAAAAATAGTTGACACTAACCTGGAAGGAGAAAGTTATTGCATTTTTGAGAGGCGAGTTTCCACAGATTAGCAAACGTGTTGCCGGCCATACACTCGGCACCAAGTACACAAACGGAATCACCTGTGGGTACCAGTTCTGAGCCCGATCACGACCGAAATGCGATCAACTGCAAATCACCCAGAAAACGAGTTCAATCTGGAAAACAGATAATTCATTATAGGTTTTAAGCGCAAAGCACGATTAGAAAGAACTATTCGTAATAGATTATGCTGGATAAAGAATTCAACTACAATCTTCACGGGTCAGAGTGACAACAAGATAAATGATTCAGAGGCCTAAATGTTTTGAATGTCTTGAAAGTGAAAGCATAGCCATTTTTACCTGAAGGAGTACGACATTCATGGGATATAGCTGTATTAAGAGCCAGATGGAAGGAGAAGCAATAATTGACGTAAATCTGATCACTCATGACTAGATCTACAGAGGATTGAATGGGCAGAGGAGCTTGGGCATTTCGTTTGATGCAGTCATGCCTTAAAAAGTGTGGCCAAATAGCGACTGAATATGAACCATCAGTGGTGATGGAAGATTGAATTCGACTTCACGATACATTTTCTCCAACAGTCTTAGCATGATCAGTGACTTGGGTAATGACAGGTCCAACTTCCCTTGCGTCAAGTGAAACGCGACTGTAAGACAGAAAACGTATGAAAAAGCATCCGATGAAGAGCTCAAAGCACTTCATTTATTTGGTGGACGTGGTTCCTCATGGAGTAGGCAAAACCATTGACCCAAACAAAAAATAAAAGGCGCACAAACCACGTCGAAACCTTTCCGGTTCCAACAGTACCCAAGGTATGAAAGCGCATTAGAAACATTGGACGTCTGACCCCATCTAAAGGGTGTGGATTTCAAATCACTGGATATCGGCGCCAGACCCACCCGCTGCCTTGAGGAGTCACGTTTTGGTCAGAAGGTTCCAGTTAAGAATCCCTAAGATCACCTGAATTGCTCTGGGCAACCCGGTAGTATTCCACCCATAGGCAAATCGTGGATCGATTTTTTTAACAAGACCATATGTGTACATGATTCAAAGAGCCAAATAAAGATGTGGGAAGCTAGCAAGCTCTGTACAGCTCTCTCAACTAAGTTGACTCTTATCAGACATGCAAACTCATCGACCCAGTTGAGGATCAAACCCCGGGAGCTCACCTGTAGAATAAAAGCATACAACTCATGGAAACACCAGATGGTTAATCACACTTCTTCAGCTTATTTTTCTTCTCTACACTGGACAATATTCACCGGAAAAATAGAATAAACCCGACATCCCCTCCAGGTGGCGAGAAGCCTGATGCCAGATGTTTCCAAAACTAGTTATAACCTTATAGGCTACTGCTGAGCCGAGCGAGGACAGCTAGCCACAACAAGAGAAAAAAGTTGTGTTACGTGATGTACATGGAATGGAAAACGATTTGATCACCTGTTCAATGAGCACGTGGATAGTAAGCGTGTGTTCAACCTGAGAAGTTTCAAATCAGATCCTCAGTTGAGTCGACGTGTTCACATTGCTAACGGAACCCTCACACGATCGAGGTTGATTTTTTTTCATTACACACACTTGTGTGATGAACAACAGACAGGTAGATCCCATATACGTGAAGACTTGCTGTTCAATGATAGAAACCAGTAACCTGCTGACTATCTTCCCGTGTACTCTGTAGCAGCCGCTTCGTCAATCAAATGAATGAACAGATCTCTTCCGTTCTCTACTAGAACTAACCGACTGATCCAAGCTGTGCCACTTGATCAAAAGGTGACGCTTTCGAGAGTGGTTTGGTCATTATAACGTGTAGATTGTCTTACTTTAAAAAAGGCAATGACATGATTTGTGTATCCTCGGAACCCTTTATGAGATCGTATCGAATGGAGTCGGAAAAATTTACTTGGACCATTATCTGGTAAACTGCAAAACTTTTAAATTACATCTAATGTCGCGAGGACCGGCTGAAATCTCGGGAGAGCACAGCTGTATGCTACCGAGCGCGTTCTCCGGTCCCGGATAGGGAAACGGCCGTCATCTCACGGCTAACCGTGAATAAGGTGGGCCTTGACCCTCCGAATAAACAGTCGCGGACGATCAGTGACAGCGCTCGAGGATGTGGTGGGTATACTTCTTGGCAAGAGTACTCCGCACAAAGCACAACGTATATCTGTCGACAGCGCTGGGGCGTGGCGAGTGTGGTCCGCCACTAAATAAGGCCATCGCCCCCTGTCGAAATCTATTGTTCATCAAGGTTCCAGAAGAGGCGAATGAACCAAATACTGGTCACCGGCTTATCTGGACTATCGCTGCTGTCTTGCAGTCTGAGCGTGGTTGCGCAAAGGCTAGAGTGCACCCTCGAACAAGGCCTACTCTGGACCGGGCGACCGAGTAGTACAATAGCCCACAACGCCATCAACTATGATCTCTTCGACTTCTATGTGCATTCAGTCTACAATTTCTGCAACTAGAAACAAACACTCTACACTGTACACACACTCATGTCCCCCAGCCCTCCCCCATCCCAAATCCACTTCCTTTCTCGGGATCTTCAGACGATCGTACAAACACCAGTGCCTCATGGAAACTCTGCCGCTGCTCCCTTATGTCCTACCTCGACTACCGTTTAAGTCTCGCCGAATCCTCCACCAACTGAAGCCCTTCTCCTCCGTCGATGCCCATTCAAACTAGCCAAATTTAATGTGCGCATTATGATGTTATAGGACAAGCCGGTTTAGCTCGTACGCTCGAAACCTTAGCCATCGATGTGTTGTATCCAAGAGACTCGCATTCAAGACTCCAGCTCCATTATCCGATTGACGTCCCCATAAAACCCATCAGTGAAGTTTCACTTATGCCTCTCTAGGGACCCTGAGGCTGCGGCTTCCGGTCTTGCTGGCGTTGGTGTGGCTCTCAGTGAGAGAGCTGAGGCCGCCCTCCAGAATTGGATCCCAGTCGACGGTAGGTTATGCGCAGTGAGGCTCAGAGGTTCGTGCAAGGTAAGCAGCCGTCGCCACGATAGACGAAACCTGTTTGTCGTATCGGCGTACGAACTAACAGTCTGCAGCCTAGATGCAGTCAAAGATGAACTTTATCATAACCTACACGACCTCTTACGTAAAGCGAGTCGGGCTGATATCGTGATTTTAGCAGGAGATATGAATGCTAGAGTAGGCCGGTGAGGTGCACCTGGGAGGTCCTTTCGGACTAGATTCCTGTCGCTCGGAAAACGGGGAACGGCTGTTGGCTCTTTGTTCCGACCACCGCCTATTCCTCGCCGGTACGAACTTCAGACGCTCCAACTACCGGTACGCCACTTGGCTTCCGCCCTCCTCGCTATTAGCTACAAATGGCGGGCTCGTATACAAGACTGCCTATCGTACTTGAGTACTCACTTCGAATCCGGCCACGCGTTAGTTTCGCCAAGCTGTCCATGTGCTTCGGTGGGCGTTCCAAACGCACGACACAACGACGGTTAGACTGTGATCAGTTGTCTGAACCAGCACGCCTAACTGTCTTTCGGAACGCGCTAACTGAAAAGCGAGAATCAATCAATCAATCACTCGATGACGTTAACCAGCACTGGTCGCTCATCAAGAATGCTCTGCATTCTGCGCCACGACACCCTGGATTACTGCGGAATCTCTACGCCTTCTGGACGCACGTCGGTCTATTCCGACCGGCAGCGAGCATGATGAAATACGACGAGCAACGATTCGTAACCTCATCGTAAGCTTACGCAGAGACCGCGAGATCTGGTGAACTAAACGCGCGCCAGAGATGGAACTTGCTGCTGCCATGGGAAATTCCCATAAGCTGTTCCGTCTCATCCGGGTCACCGGTTGAAAAGCCTTAGGTGTGAGCGAAACGATCTGCGAAGCTGACGATTCGCCCAGTCACAATCAACAGCGACGTCTTGCACGCTGGGTGGAGCACTTCAAGATACAGTTTAGCTAGCCACCAGCGTCAGCTCCTCACACATCTATTCCGGCACACATCTCATGGTCTGTCACAACAGACCCACCTTCTGAGGCGGAAATCCGTAAGGAGATCCAAGCCTTGGGACGTCCGATGGCCTACCCCCTGCTATATTTAAAGATGGTGGAATAAAGCTTGTTAGAGAACTACAAGTTCTGTTCTCTAGTGTGGAACACTGAGCAATTCCCCTCCTTGTGGGGGGAATCGATTGTTGTCCCCATCTTCAAAAAGGGCCCGCACAATGACTACGCCAATCATAGGGGCATAAGCCTAATCCAAATAGTGTCAAAGCTGTTCGCGTCCGTCATTCTCCGCCGATTGTACACTACGCGTGAGGAGCAGACCTGCGAGGAGCAGGCTGGGTTTCGCNCGATCATTGTATTCTTAGACATTAGCGCGACCTTCGACTCTGTCGATAGGACCGCACAATGGA